TTAAGTGTGCCCTTGCTCAGTGTGCATTGGTAGGTGTGAATACCCCTCTCCTACCCCTCCACTGCTTTCTATTGTTTTCACCACCAAGTGTGCACATGGGGGTTGACTGATTATTTCCAGTTTAATAGTGACTGTTTCTTTTTCCATTCTTGCAAAACTTCACACAGAAGAATTGTCCCCAGTTCGATCAGGTTGTTGCCAAAAGCATTAACTCACCATTTTTGTAACTGCTGAGTAGTACTTCACAGCAGACTTTCATATATGACGTTTTCTTATCACTCATGAATTGTTGGGCACTTGGGTGTTCCACATCTTTGTGATTGCACACTGTGCTGCAGTAAACATTCGCGTGCATGTGTCTTTTTGATGAAATGGCTACTTTTCCTTTGGGTATTTATCCAACGGTGGGACTGCTGATCAAGGTGGGGCCACCATGTGCTGATTAGAGACATTGAGCGTCGCGGTCTGATTTGCTTTTCTCTGATAATTAGAGACATGGAACATTTTTTTGGTGTTTATTGACCATTAGTCTATCTTTTTCTGAAAAATTTCTGTTCTGTCTTTTGCCCGCTTTTTAATGGGGTTATTTGATTTTTTTCTTGCTGATTTGCTTGAGTTCTTTATAGATTCTGGTTATCGGCTCTTTCTTAGATGTATAGCAAGCAAATATTTCCTCCCATTCTGTAGGTTGTCTATTCCTTCTACTGAGTATTTCCTTGGCTACACAAAGCCTTTTAATTTAATCAGGTCCCATTCATTAATTTTTGTTGTTACTGTGATTGCTTTGGAGGTATTCTTCATGAATTCTTAGCTTATGCTGTGTGGTTTTGTTTTCTAAAAAATCATGAGTGGGGCTCGGCGCCTGTAGCTCCACATACATTAGAGCCAGCAGGTTCGAATCCAGCCTGAGCCTGCCAAACAACAATGACAACTACAACCAAAAAAATAGCTGGGTTTTGTGGTGGGCATCTGTAGTCCCAACTACTTGGGAGGCTGAGGCAAGAGAATTGCATAAGCCCAAGGGTTTGAGGTTTCTGTGAGCTGTGACACCATGGCACTCTACCTAGGGTGACCTAGTGACACTCTGCCTCAAATAAAAAAATGATGAGTGGATGTTGAATTTTGTTAAATGCTTTTCTTCATACATTGAGATGATGATAGGATTTTTACTTATGCAATCTGTTGATATAGTGAATTACATTGACTTTAAAAAGTTGAACCAACCCTTCATTCCAGGGATAAACCCAACTTATATGTAATGACTATCATTTTAAAATATTGCAGGATTTGACTAGCAATTTTATTTTATTATTATTATTTTTTAATTTTTACAGATAGAGTCTTAGTCTGGTATGCAGGTTGGAATGCTGTGGTGTTATCATAGCTCATTGCAGCTTTGAATTACTGGGCTCAAGTGATCCTCTTGCCTGAGCCTCCTAAGTGCCTAGGAGTACAGCCATGTATCACCATTCCTGGCTAATTTATTATTATTATTGCTTCTAGAGAAAGGGTCATACTATATTGTCCAGGCTTGTCTTGAACTCCTGGCCTCAATCAATCCTCCTGTACTAGCCTCCGAAATTTGCTGAGTAATGTGTTAGTGAGGATTTTCACATTCGTGTTTTTTTTTTTTTTTTT